ACGACTCTTTCTCTAAAGGTTTTGTGAAAATGTCGGCTAATTGGTTGTGTGTTTCAACAAACTCAATTTCGACATCACCTTTGAGAACATGATCTCTAATGAAATGATGCCTAATGTCAATGTGTTTCGTCCTTGAGTGAAGAACGGGGTTCTTCGTCAAGCTTATGGCGCTAGTATTATCACAACGAAGAGGGACGTGGTTGATAGTAAGGCCATAGTCCACGAGTTGTTGCTTCATCCAAAGAATTTGAGCACAACAACTACCGGCGGCTACATATTCCGCTTCAGTTGTGGATAACGCAACACTGACTTGCTTTTTACTAAACCATGAGACTAGAGAGCTACCAAGTAAGTGGCAAGTCCCACTTGTACTTTTACGGTCTAATTTGCAACCGTCAAAGTCCGAGTCGGAATAGCCAACGAGATGACAAGAAGAGCCTTTTGGATACCACAGTCCAACGTTTACCGTGCCGGCAAGGTATTTCATAATCCGTTTTACCGCGGTTAAGTGTGATTCCTTCGGACACGATTGATACCTTGCGCAAAGGCAAACACTAAACATGATATCCGGCCTACTAGCAGTAAGATAAAGAAGGGATCCGATCATACCTCGATACTTTTTGACCTCTACTTCCTTACCTTTCTCGTCTTTGTCAAGATGATCAGACGTGCTCATCGAGGTCGCCATGGCTTTGGCGTTGTCCATTTCAAACCGTTTTAGGAGCTCCTTGCAGTATTTAGCTTGGCAAATGAACGTGCCATCTTTCATTTGCTTAACTTGGAGTCCCAAAAAGAATGTGAGCTCGCCCATCATTGACATTTCAAATTCGCTAGTCATTAGCATTGAGAATTCCTTGCACAAAGACTCATTAGTAGCACCGAATATAATGTCGTCTACATAAACTTGAACCAAAAGGATGTTATTGTTTTTACTCTTGATAAAAAGTGTGGTGTCTACCTTTCCCCTTTGGAAACCACTATCCAAAAGAAATTTACTCAAACGTTCGTACCAAGCACGTGGTGCTTGTTTAAGACCGTAGAGCTCTTTCTTGAGTTTGAAGACGTGATCGGGAAACTCAAAGTCCTCAAACCCCGAGGGCTGGTCAACATACACTTCCTCTTGAATAAAACCATTGAGGAAGGAACTCTTAACATCCATTTGATAAAGTCTAAAATCCATAGACGAAGCAAAAGCAAGAAGTAAACGAATAGCTTCTAAACGTGCTACAGGTGCATACGTTTCTTCAAAATCAATGCCTTCTTCTTGATTGTAGCCTTTAGCTACGAGCCTAGCTTTGTTTCTAGTGATTATTCCATTTTCATCAAGTTTGTTACGGAACACCCATTTCGTACCAATAATCATACGATCATCGGGCCTTGGCACCAATTCCCAAACGTCATTCCGTTTGAATTGGTTTAGCTCCTCTTGCATAGCCAAGGTCCAATGTTCATCGTTTATTGCTTCGGAAATGGTTGTAGGTTCAATTTAAGAAACAAAAGCCATGTGTCCTACGGTGTCCCTAAGTGAGTTACGAGTACTTACCCCGCGGTTGATGCTGCTGATTACCTGGTCAAGTGGATGGTTTCTGTGTGTTCTCCAAGCGATGGGAAGCTCGGTTTCCTCTTGTTCCTAGGCTTCCTCTTGTTCTTCTTTGTCCATTTGGTCCTCATTTTCGACCATCACTTGAGGTGTTTCCTCAGGTTGTGGTTGCGGGTTGGTGTATAAAGGCGTGTCTTCTTCATCGTCTTCAATGTGTACTCTCTCTAATGAATCTGCAAGATCATCACAAATAGCCTTTCTCGCCAAGCGAGTATTATCTTCGGAAAATACAATATGAGGGGACTCCTCAATAGTCAAAGTACGTTTATTAAATACTCTATTGGCCTTGCTGCGAAGAGAATAACCAAGAAAAATCCCTTCGTCCGACTTGGCATCAAATTTTCCCAAGTTATCTTTGCCGTTATTATGAATAAAACATTTGCAACCAAAGACTCGCAGATGGGAAAGGTTTGGCTTTCTCCCTTTGTATAGTTCATAGGGCGTTTTCATGAGTATCGTTCGAATGACGGCTCGGTTTAACACGTAGCTCGCGGTACTCACGGCATCCGCCCAAAAATACTTAGGGATTTTTGCCTCATTGATCATAGTTCTAGCCATCTCTTCGAGGCATCTATTTTTACGTTCCACCACTCCATTTTGTTGTGGTGTACGTGGGGCTGAGAAGTTATGATCAATGCCAAGTTCGTCACACAAATCTGAAAATAGATTTCGTTCGAACTCTCCCCCATGGTCGCTTCTTATGGCTACTATGGTTGTTTCTTTTTCATTTTGAACTTTCTTTAGAAAATTTTTGAAAACATGAAATGCTTCACTTTTATGAGTAAGAAACAAGGTCCATGTAAACCTAGAGTAGTCATCGACAATCACAAACGCAAAGTAATTGCCACCAAAACTTTTCGTTCTAGAAGGACCAAA